GAGAGAGAGAGAGAGAGAGAGAGAGAGAGAGAGAGAGAGAGAGAGAGGGGGGGGAGGGAGAGCACACAGAACCATTTATTGGAAATTCTAGAACACACAAAACTAAGATGAAAAACCTGAAAACAGTGGCTGCCTCCAGCTGCATGGGAATGAAGAGGAAAGACACTGCTAAGAGGAATTTTCTGGGGAAATGTTTTCTGTCTCTGAGGGGCATCAAACTATAAAGTGGGTTTTCGACCCACAGATCAGAACTGCGTATCTCAGACTATCGCACGTCAGTGATCACGCTGTGGTTTGAATGTCCACATGGTTTTAGTGCCCTCCAAAGCTCAGTGGAGAGCTAAGGAGATAACTCAGTGTTACAGTGCCTGCTGCCTAAACGTGAGGACCAGAGTCTGGATCCCCAAAGGCTGTGTAAATGCCCAGCAGGTGTGATCGCCTACCTGTAATTGCAGCCTCAGAAGGCTGAGAAAAGGGTTCCCCAGAGCAATCTGGCTATTGAGACCAGCCACATCAGTGAGCTCTGGGTTTGATAGAGAGAACTTGCATCAGTGAATAAGTCAGAAGAGTCATTGCCAACATCAGTTTTGGGCCTCCAAGTGCCCACACACCGATGCACATGTACACACACACACACACACACACACGGTTGGAATTTAACTGCCACTGTGAAATCATGAAGTGTTCAAACCCTTGAGCAGTGAATAGGCCACAAGAGCTCCTTTCTTAGAGAAAAGAAATGAACCCGCCTCCTTTAGCTCTTCAGCTTTCCTACATGTTACCCAAAGGGAGAATGTTGGCACCTTAGCCTTGAACTCCACAGAGCTCAAAACTGTGGGGTGGGGGAGGGGGAGGGAGAAATTCTTGTTCTTTATAAATTATCCAGCCCAAGGGGTTTTGTTACAGCAGAACAAAATGGGGTAAGATGGCATATGCTTTATTTAAAGCCTATGAAGTTGTCAGTATCAGAGAGTGGGGATTGGGAAACAAGCTGAGGCATGACCTTGATTTCACTAAAACTCATTTTGTTACCTTCTTATTTGAAGTGTTACAGGATATACGTGTGCTTTGTTTAATTAAAATGAATTATTTCAAGCAAGAGACGGTGAAGGTCCGAATTAAGACAGTAGCTGTGAGCAGAGTGACTATTCACCAGTGAACTGTGACTGATAATGAAAGTGCCAAGAGAGGGGTCACTTCATCCACTTCAAGCCATCCATGGTAGACTGTTTCCATCCCACTGTGTCCCATAATAGCCTTTTATACTTCAAAAGATAAAACCACTATTTTGAAAGGTGGTCATGGAAACCACCAAACTGCTAACAGCTCAAGGCATTGAGAGCTTAAGAATACAAGAGGTAACGCCTGGCCCGTGATTTGAGCCACTAGAGGGAGTTTTTAGGGACCAGTCATTAAGACTAAAGAGAAATGATATGAAGATGAATGGATATTTGTGTTGGGGAATGGAGTCTAGAGCAGCACTGCATATTAAGCTTGTGATATTTTAATAAAAGAATTCTATCAGGATGTCAGATAAAAGTCTGCCAAGGAAGAGGTCTGGGCTACAGAGTCAGGCTGAGACTCATTACTGGAATAGGCAAAAAAAAAAAAAAAAAAAAAAAAGTCAATCACTGTAAACTGAGTGTTTGTGACATGGACAACTGCCCATGCAATAGTGGACCAAGAAAGGAAGCGTGTCTCTGGTGAAGGAACACATGCAATCTCTATCAAGATGCCTACATCAAGATGCCAACCTTGCCAGCCAGGGCAACCCATCCCTGGATGTCACCAATTCTGAACGCATGAAACAAAATTCCCCAAGTAGATGGAAGTATTTTAAAGAAACTAAGGCAGGAGGATTGTGTTTGTATAACAAGGTATTACCATGGCTATCCCCTCTGAAGCTTTAAGGGAGGCCTGATGTGTTTTTAGAAAAGAAGACCATTTTCAAAATTTGACAAAGATGCCAACTGACTGTTTATAGAATTCATTACTCCTTCATCCCATGATGGACATAAGAAGATAAAGAATCTGATGTTTGGAGGAGGAGTTATTCGAGGGAGTTAG